TAGTAGATGCTATAATAAAATAATTTTGAAAGTACAATGATGTAGTAAGAAAGTCACATCACTATTAGTACATGTGGACAGCCTACGTGGACAATGAGGTGGCATGGAAACCTAGTATAATGGGTAAATTTAAATCAAAAGGTTACCCAATGCTATAATGGGTAAATTTTTCAAAGTACAATGTCCTAATAAAAAATAATTTGAAAGTACATTGCTGTAATAAGAAAAACTGAAAGTACAATGCTATAATAAAGAAATTTATGAAAGTAGATTGCTATTTTATGCATTTTGCCCAAATTTTTTATGTGTCTTATATTTACTAATTTTTTTGAACTACTATTATATATATTAAAAAAATTTGGGCCCCTAATTTTTATGGGCCCTGCCCGCCCTCCCCCAGGGACGGCCCTGGTTCTTGATTGCCCGTACATATCCTGAATCACCCTGGCATACCTCCATGGTACCCCCTTTTCTCCATACTCCTCCAAATCACATCCATTCATATCATTACAATATTATCCTACCATGCGTCACATTTGTTTAACCTTATCGTGACCTTTCAATCAGCCATGCTAGACATATTAATTAATTTCTTATCTTCAAATGTTTAACCTCAAGTCATATAATTACTTAATTTCTCATATCTAAGCCTAAGACCAGGTTTCAAATGCTATATTTACTTTAACCATTGATTTGCCATCTTCCCTTCCACATGAAAGGGTTCACGTTTGATGTCAGTATGGATCAATCTTAAAGCTCATAATTGCATGAACAATTTATAATTGTCGGTAAAAAAAACATTCCATGCAACTTAGTAAAATAACACATGAAACTCACCCAAGGTCTGTAGCCCTAATAGGGTTCTCACAATGTCAATCGGTCTCCCTACAAATCATAGACAATCAAGTAAAGATGTATATTCTAATAATAATAAACAAGAGTCCTAACTTGTTATGAGTTGATTGATTGAATTCCCCATGGTGACATACGACTAAACATTAATACTCTATTACGACACTTTATCAGTCCTAAATGTGAATTCTATAAGTTTATGCTCAAAATTAACCAAGGCTTCACAAAACGTCAAAACAATGACCTAATTACAATTTATAATATCCAAGGTCTTTCGAACTCAAATTATTAAAATCGTGATCAAAATAAGAAATTGAAACTTTAGAGACCTATTGGCAATTTTTATAATTTAAATAATTGGGATCATAACTAAATACACAACTTAAATTCTTGAGGGTATTTTGGTAATTTCCAGTATGGTATGTTATCTAGAAATTATTCAAGAATTCTATAATTAGAAGTTCAATTTACCGTTCCAATGTAACAAGTGATCTAAGAATGACTTTTTGTGTTATATTGATGTATCAAATTTTTTGGAACATTATTATAGTTTAGGGACAAACAGAGCGTGCACCCTACCACACCCCTAAAGAACTGAACCTCAAAAACACCTTATGCAAAAATTAGGCAACATGAATCTCTAGGATCTTATCACACTACATAAACTATGGCAAGAGAAGTGACATATTTGAACTTTTGAAATTACTCCAACTAAAAGATAATTACTATGTTACATTACACATCAATTAAGGATTATAGAAAGTATTTCTTTGACATTATTATACAATTAGCAATTCCATTTAGATGCTCGAAAGATCCAAATAGGAAGATCAAAAAAGAAGGCTTTGCTTTTATTTTATCCGAAGTTCCTTTTGGGCCTACCAATGACTTTCTACTTTCTAAAGGTAACAATATCCTTATACCCACCCATGTCAAGCATGAACATTCAAGTTCATCTCAACCTTTATATGAGTTTCTATTAGCTAAACCAACAAATTAGTGTATTCCACCAACCTCGCTTTTTGCAGGCTCCGTCTCGGCCACTTGCAAACAATTAGATTCCTTTTCAGTCATCAAGTAAATTAGAACTTATGGAGATGGGGAGGGCTCTTGAATAGTTCTCTAATTGGTAAACTGAAGAATGTAGGTAGTGAGGCCCAAGGTTTAGAAGTACAAAAACGCTAAGCGGAGAGTTTTACTTCAATTCCTCGAGGCAAAAAACAAATAAAGTTCACAACAAGCAAAACATAATCCCATATCGAACTATGGAGCTCATAAAAAAGCCATAAAATTACTAGTTATAAGTCTTATAAACACACCTCGACGATAAAAACAAAAAAAATCATAATGAACACCATCTAATTTCATGTCAAACACTCCAACTAAAAAGTATAAGCATATAAAAATGATTCAAAAAACTAAAAAAAGTTAGTGAAACAACCATAATTCCAAGCCTCAAATGCCTTCTAAAACCACAGTGAGCCTCATAATGTACAGGACCAAGGTGGTTGTAGTTTGCCAAAAATGCGTCATCTTTTAATTTTTCATGTACTTGCAAGGAATGACGTCAACATGTTAAGTAGAAATTTACATGTTGAACAAAAGAGCTATCGTGGATGCATCTTGTATAACAATATGGCATCCACGTATGAATAGTGATGCAGCCAAGTTAAAGTAAACCAAAGTAGTAAGAAATAGATTATTCTCACCCGACTAAATCTGATATCAGGGATTCCGTCCTTCAATTCTATCTCATCCATGGAATTTTCCATTTCCTAAATGATCAAAGTACAAAAGATAGTTACAAAGATGTGATCTTTTAATCCAAAAGGGAAAAATGGTATGTACTTCATGATAACAAGCTAATGGAAGGAAAAAGCTAACTTTCGGTAGTTAACATTGAAGACCTTAAAATCATGTTTAATAAAAAATAAATACTCATATCCCACTATCCCTATGCAAATGTATTAATTGAGTTGGTATACCAGAATGAGGTTAGATGATGGAGGTATTACCATGGTAACTCGTGAGATATTGGTTCCAGGCCTCACGACATCCATTTCAGCAAGAGATTCAACAAGGGATGCCCAGTCAGCATTTACGATGTGGATAATTGATGCAAGCATGGCAAACTTATGTTTCTTTTCCATTCGACAGATTAGTCCAAAATCAAGAAACCTGGCATGAAACACTGAGAAAGGTAAACATAGAACTATAAAGATAACTTCCAACTTAAACCAAAATGAAAAAATGATGATAAGAAAGTACCCTATTTGTCCAGATGGTAAATAGAGCATATTTCCAGGATGTGGATCAGCATGCAATAAGCCAGTTTCAATGAGTTGAACTAGACATGCTTCAACTCCTTTGTTAACCTAGAACACCCAAAGAGTAATAATACAATGAGCACAGATGCTGCAGTTACAAAATGATTGTAGTAATTGGTGCCAATTATATCCAATATACACACTTAAATTATTCATCATATTCTCATTGCTAGAAACCCACCCTTCCATCCTTCAGCCATCTTCAGGTAGAACCCTAACCTTGACACCTTTACCGTCCCTTTCTCTTGAATCATGAATAAGGTTTAGCACGTATAATTATTTTTATGGTAGGAGTGCTTGGAAACTCGGGATTAGCGACTAGGTACTATGTGAGGGACCTGTAGGCTGTAGCTATACCTAACATGGATGAGAGGGAGGTTTGGAGAAGGTAGAGAGTGGGCAAAGGGGATGAGTGGAGAGGTGGCAGTTAGGTTACTAAAGTCTTATGTTAGATAGATAGTTGCTTTAGCTTTTCCTACTTTTCATTTATATGTCTTAATTTTTGTATGCCAATCTGTTTTTCTTCCTGCTTTAGTAGTTATTGGCACCGTGCTTTGTGATTCCCTGTTTTGTTCACTGTACATGTTGTGTGTTTGCACACACTCGCATGTCTCGTACTTTTGTTTTTGTTTTTATTTTGCAAGTCAGGGGTATTTACAGAAACAACCTCTATACCCTTTGGGGTAGAGGCAAGATCTGCATACATTCTACCCCGGAGACCCTACCTCTGTGCAGGATATACGGCATTCGGTTGGTTTGGTTTACTCATCATTGTTTGTTTGGCTTTATAATATTTAAAGATCTAAAGGTGATGTTGGTAAGGTGCTGAATAAATTCACTTGTAATTGTTCAATACAGTACCAGATCAAGAAGATGCCTCTTAGCATCGATTCGCTGCTTCTCTGAATATTGAGATTCATGTTCAAAATTGCTACTGCACATGGAGAGTAATTCTTTTGGACTCTCACCAGCCATCCACTCCATAGTTAGGACCCTCTTTTGAGTCAGATGCTGGAACACTTTTGGAACACGAATAAAGGAGAAGAGAGAATGAGCTTCCTGCAGAAAAATGCATAAGTTACAATGTTACATAGATAATCCATAAAATCTGTGACTTGATCAAGCCTTACGGGGTGCCACAACGCGTGGAAGCAGTAAAAAATGAGTTGTCTGTCATCATACAACAAGGCTGATCTGACATTAATATTCCGCTATAATATTAGATTTCCTTCAAGTGTATTACAAAACTAAATTAATAATATATCAATTATGAAGGAGAGTCAGATGCATGTATGGTTTGATTTCTCAATTCAAGGACTCATCTTCATTTCCAGAATGTATCATAATTTTTATCATCCAGAAAGTGAGAAAATGATACAAGAACTGTCCATTTTTATAATTTTACTGGAATCTAATATCATAAAAATACGATCATGTGCAATGTACAAGATGTTAAATAAACTAATAATCTTTACTATGTTAAAAAACATTTCCCTCATATTCTTAAAGTCTCCTATAATTCAAGTTTTTGACTTATTAATGCATATGTACAACTTCTTAAAACTCCACACTTGGAACTCCATAAAATTTATTGATAAACACAGAATAAGCTTTAAGCCCCTACTAATAAAATTACATCCTAATTTTTAAATCTAAAACATACTTATATTATAACAAAATTTGGAATTAAACAAATCATCCAAAAAAAAATTATTAATCTTTAATTTGGCACCAATATCGATATATTTTTTGGGGTTTTTTGTCTCCTTGTATCGTGCCCCGATAGGCGTCATGCGAACCCTTGAGATATTAAGAAGGAAATTCTTTTGGGGTGGGGGTAACAGATCGCATCATCCTTCCTGTGTTCGGTGGGATAGTGTAATTAGTCATACTCAATTGGGGGGGTTATTGGGGGGGTTATTGGGGGTTAGGGGGGGGTATTCGAGCGTCTAATTTGGCTTTGCTGGGGAAATGGCTTTGGAGATAAATATTGGAGGGAGGAGCACTGTGGCATACAACTATTTCGAGCGTTTTCAGTAGATATGGTGGCTTTAGTAGTAGAGATAGTAAGAGCCTGCTTGGGGGCACTTGGGGAGGAGTGATAAAGGCGATAAGAGAATAGAGGATTTAGGTCTATCTTTCTCGGGACTCATTTAGCAGAAGTATTGGTGATGGGGCAGATATCGATTTTTAGTCAGATCATTGGTTGGAGGTTGGTAGATTAAAAGATAGATTTCCTCGCTTGTGGGCATTAGGAAGGGTAAAAGAGGTGATGCTGCGAGATAAAATTGGTCCATCTAGGGTAGAAGATTGGTCGTGGAGTTGGGAGTAGAGCCAGTCGAGAGTTTGAGGATCTTTTGTGCCTGTTCCAACCTATCTCGATTAATCCTAATGGAAATGATAAGTGGGTTTGGGATTTGGATGCAAATGGGGTTTTTACTGTGAAAAAGTTTGAGGGAAATGATAGATAATAGGCTGCTGGACACTCACAATGGGGTTGGAATTACCCAATGGTGTTCTTTAGTGCCAAAGAAAGTCAACTTCTTCGTTTGGAGGTTGTGCAAGGAAGGAATTAAAGTGAGGAAAGTGTTTCATGATAGGGGCTTTGATTTAGACTCTAGGTTTTGCCCTAAATGCAACAGTGATGTAGAATCTCTTAAACGCTGCTTTCTGGATTGCCCGATTAGTGTCCAGTTGTGGGGAAAAAATTCTGCTTGGTGTGGTGGGAACTTCCAGTCAGGAAGATCGATCAAGGAGCTGATTTCGGACATTGGTAGCAGTAGTGGTGTGTCTGCTTTAGCTTTGGCGAGAGAAGCAGTCATTTGGTCTTCTCTATTCATCCTGTGGAGGAAAATAATTCTTTGGCTTTTGAAAGGGATGCTCGGATCGATATTAGGGAGCTGTTTTTCAAAATCCAGTCTACCTCCTTTCTTTGGATCTCAAACAGCACTAAGAGCAGGAAGCCTTCATAGATGGAGTGGTTGAGTGGCTCGTATTGGCGAAGTTAAAGGTTGTCTTGTTCTTGGGTTAGGATCGGGTCTTCCCTTTCGTTTTGTATCGTTCTTTTTTTGGGCCTTTGTCTTTCAGAGTGGGTTGTTTGGTTTTTCTTGGCGTTCTGTCCTTGCAGAATTTGGCCATTTTGTTTTGTTTTGTAATTTCTGGTTTCTCTTTCCAGTAATAAAATTATTGCCTTTCAAAAAAACTGGAGTTTTTCAACAGGATCCTCAAATTAGCAAGTAATGTTCAATCACTATTTGTAATTTCTATTTTGTTTAAACATAAATTTTGAAATTTTCTTGTTTAACCAAGAATTGCCTTAATAAATCCTACCAGGAGTTGTCTGTAGGGACCCCCATAAACTACCATTCCGAACATGGCGCATGACCGGTTGTTTTTCGGTAGAAAGAAGTTTCCGAAGACCCGGACAAGAAAAACTCTGACTGCTCCATATAAAAACTTTTATGGATTGAAAACTTGAATTTTATTAAACGAGCTTGGTCCTTTAAATAGGAGTAACAATCCTAATTACAATGAAATAAGGAAACAATCCTAATTATAATCAAATAAGGAAAACTCTCAAAGAAGATAAAGATCAAGAAATAGAAAAAATAGAAGAAATAAAAGGCAAGGAAGATAAGGAAAGGATAACAACAAAATCCTTTACTCCCACTCAAGTTGGAGCATGTAAGTCTCGAATGCCCAACTTGTCAAGTAGCTTGCGTAATTGATCTGCACCCAGTGCCTTAGTGAAGATGTCAGCTACTTGTACTTTCGTGTCAACAATCGTGTCAACGATGAGAGGTTTGATTTCCTGTGATTCAACACGCTCACGGACAAAGTAGCAGTCCATTTCAACGTGTTTAGTCCTTTCATGAAAAACAGGATTATTAGCAATATGTTGAGCCGATTGATTGTCATAGAAAAGAGGTGTAGCACTAGTTTGAGGTGCCTGCAGAATTCCAAGTAACCAACGAACCCACAAAACTTCACTAACAGTTGTTGCCATAGCCCTATACTCGGCTTCAACAGAAGATCTCGAGACAACTGTTTGTTTCTTTGTTTTACAAGAGATGGGTGCTCCACCTAGGAGTAGCAAATAACCTGAACGAGATCGTCGTGTAAAAGCACATCCAAGCCAATCTGAGTCACAATAGGCTATAAGATCAAGACCTCCTTCCTTTGGTATAAAAACCCCTTGACCCGGAGTGGTCTTTAGGTAACGTAGGATTCTGACTGCAGCATCCATGTGACATTGTCGAGGATCAGATACAAATTGACTAAGCATGTTGACTGAATAAGCAATGTCTGGTCTGGTAGCTTGGAGATAAAGCATTCTTCCAACAAGACGACGATATTGGCTAGCATCTACCTTGGGACTGTCATGACCTTGATCCAACTGTAAATTTTGTTCCATCRGAAASAAGCTCGGACGACATCCCATTAAACCRYTGTCTTCAAGAATATCAAGTGTGTACTTGCGTTGACTAAGCACAATACCATCAGGTGTACGTGCCACTTCTATTCCCAAGAAATATTTCAACGGACCCAAATCCTTAATGCTGAACTTTTGATCGAGAAAGGACTTTATTTCTTGTATCTTTGAGGCACTGTTACCGACAATAATGACATCATCAACGTAAATCAAGGCAGCAACAAAAACATCATTATTGGTGAATATGAATAAAGAGGCTTCAACATGGGTTTGTCGAAACCCCAATCCAGTAAGTGCCAAAGTGAACTTGTTACCAGTTGCGAGATGCCTGACGAAGGCCATAAAGAGATTTTCGCAATCTACAAACCCGTGTTTCTTCTTTTCTGGAAAAACCATCTGGAATTTTCATATAGATTTCTTCTTTGAGGTCGCCATGCAAGAAGGCATTATTCACATCGAGTTGATGTACAATCCAATCCTTCTTGGTTGCAACAGCAAGGAGTGTTCTGACTATTACCAATTTAGCAACAGGGGCAAAAGTGTCATGAAAATCGACCCCCTCCATTTTTGTGAATCCTTTTGCAACCAATCTCGCCTTATATCTTTCAATTTCGCCATCTGGTTTGTATTTTATTTTATACACCCACTTGGAATCGATGGCTCGTTTACCCTCAGGCAAGTTTTCAAGGGTCCAGGTACCATTGTTTTCAAGGGCTTTGATTTCATCTTTCATTGTCGTAACCCATTTTTCATCTTGCATAGCCTGCTTAAAATGTTTTGGCTCACTGTTGGAGATAATTGCAGACAAGAAAGCCTTATGTTTATCTCAAAATTTGTCATAAGAAAGATGGTGAGTTAGAGAATGTACCGTCGAAGAAGCTTGATGGCTTGTGGGTCGTGCGTGGTCTATCGAAGGTGGTAGCTTGACGACAAAATCTTCAAAATGTTTCGGTGGTGCTCTATTCCTTTTCTCTCTTTAAACTTGTGTAGTTGTTTTTGTGTCTTGGGTCACAAGGTCGTTCACAGGGTCTTCGAGTACAACTTGAGCATCTGTGGTCAACTCCTCATTAGTTTCTTCAATACTCTCCCTTGCTTCTTCAACTTCAATGCCATCATCGATATTTTTTGAGGTATGAAAGGCGTCATCAGTGGTTGCATCTTTAATTTCCCAATCATTTTCCCTTATCTCTGCACAATCTTCTTTTACTTTGTCTTTGGTCACCATAAAAGGGAACTCGTTTTCTACAAATTTTACGTCCCTTGAGACAGTGATTTTGTGTGTATCAATGTCATATATACGATATCCTTTCTGTCCTTGAGGGTATCCGATGAAGACCCCAGGCCTCCCCCTCACTTCATACTTTCGTTTCTATGTTTCTAGCATATACCAAACAACCAATCCTTACGTGGTCATATGCTGGTTTTAGCTTAAAAAGAACCTCAAAAGAAGTTTTTAAAGTTTATAACTTTGGAAGGAAGCCTATTTATGATGTAAGTGGCTGTTAAGATGCAATCTCCCCAAAATTTGATGGGTAAGTTAGCCTCAAATCTTAAGGCTCTAGCTATCTCAAGAAGGTATCCGTGTTTTTGTTCCGCGACACCATTTTGTTGCAGGGTGTTTGGGCAAGAAGTCTCAAGAATGATACCTTTGGAAGCATAAAAATCACTTATGAATCCCGAGGTGAATTCTCCTCCGTTGTCACTCCTTATTCTTTTAACTTCTTTTCCAAATTGAGTTTTGATCATATTGCACAAGTTGATCAGATGATTGCTTGCTTCTGATTTGTGTTTAAACAAAAACACCCAAACAGCTCTACTAAAATCATCAACCATAGTCAAAAATAGCGTGCCCCTATGAGCGAAGGAGTTCGATAATTTCCCCAGATATCACAATGAAGTAAATTAAAACATTCAATCGTTTTAATAGAACTTTTAGGAAAAAGAAGTCTGGAATGTTTTGCCTTTACACACGAATCGCAAACACTATTATTTGACCTAGGAACAAGATTTTCTAAAAACTCAAAATAACGTAACTTGGAGTCTGAAGTGTGACCAAGTCTTTTGTGCCAAACTTCAATATCTGGTGCAGCCATCATTGCCATTTTCTTTTCTGCCACCGAATCGATTCAATAGAGACCACCCTTGCACTTACCTATGCCAATCAAGTTCTTCTCGAGTAACCCTGTATAAGACAAAAATCAGGGTAAAGAGTCACTGCACAGTTCAAATATGTGGTTATTCGACTGACAGAGAGCAAGTTGCATTTAAAATCAGGGATGAATAACACATTCCCAATTCTAATTCCATTTGGCAAATTGCAATTCCCTTTTCCTTTAACTGGAATGGAATCTCCGTTTGGTATGGTGACAGGTGCCTCATGATTGCAATCTACCCTTTTTTCAAGTAGATTCAGATCACACAAGTCATGTGTTCCGTAGCACCTGTATCAATAATCCATGAATTGTTGCCAACATCCTTACCGGCCATGTTACCGACAGGTCCTACACCTCCTTTGTTAGTGTTCTTGAAGTGCTTGAGTAGCTCCTGATATTGTTTGTTTGTCATGATGGGTACTTTTGTGGTTTCAGTGTTGACAAACACAGCTTTAGGTAACCTTTTTCTTTCTTTCCTTTTCCAGGCCACCACTCGGGATAGCCAATTCGCTTGAAGCAACCATCTTTATTATGTCTCGTTCTACCACAGAAGGTACAATTTTCAACTTCATCATTGCCGTTGCGTCTTGCCTCCTTTGTACCGCCTTTATTACGCTGTGGTGTTGAGTCATTGGTTCCTTCCCTTCTGTTCTGATCAAAGCTTTGAAAGGCAGCAGCCTCATGTATGGGTCTTCTTGTGGCCGCTATAGCTCTTTGTTGTTCATCTTTAGCGACTAGATGATAAGCAGTGCCAAGCGTAGGAGTTGGTTTCGAGGCAAGAATCTGAGTCTTAATCGTTGCAAACTCATTATCAAGTCCCATCAACAACTCGTAGAGCCTCTCCTTTTCTTTTGCTTCGTTCAGTCTTTTTCCAGCATCACATGTACACCTTCCGCAAGTGCAATAAGGTGTTGGTGACACAGTTTGTATTGCGTCCCACAGCCCTCGCATCTTGGTGTAATAGACTGAAACAGATGCACCGTTCAGAGCCGTGGTGGTCAAGGTCTGTTTTAGTTCATATGCTCGAGGAGCACTTTCCTTGCCAAATCTTTCTTCAAGATCGGCCCATATCTCCGCAGCGGTGTTGGCGTGTTTGATGCTTGATCTGATATCCTTCTCCATGGCTGTAGTCAACCATCCCTTTATCATAGCATCACATCTCATCCATAACATATATTGTGCCGATTCCTCTTCTGGCCTTTTAATTGAACCATTAACAAAACCGATTTTGTTCTTTGCGAACAAAAAATTCTTCATCTCTTGAACCCAATCTCCATAGTTGCTGTCAAAGAGAACATCGTTTACCTGCATCTGCCTTGGATAATCAGAGCAATGAAGATAATATGGAGAATTGGGATCGATGGTGTTTCCATTGTTCTTCGGTGGTGGTGCCGCGATATCTCCGGCCATGGCGTCGTTGATGTTTGAGATGGATCAATCAATCCTTGCTCTGATACCATAAAAACTTTTATGGATCGAAAACTTGAATTTCATTAAACGAGCTTTGTCCTTTAAATAGGAGTAACAATCCTAATTACAATCAAATAAGGAAACAATCCTAATTATAATCAAATAAGGAAAACTCTCAAAGAAGATAAAGATCAAGAAATAAAAAAAATAAAAGAAATAAAAGGTAAGGAAGATAAGGAAAGGATAACAACAAAATCCTTTACCATACTAATTTCTGATCTCATTTCCATGACTTCTTTTGGATCCAGGAGTGAGACTTCACTCCAATTGGGTTATAATATTTATCTTATACAACTACTCTGCACTTGGCTTGCCAGCATTTATTACGGTGATGAGAACACATTTCAGGAAGTTGTTTATCCTGACCCTTGCAGGGAATGTCCTCCCATTATAATAGAATAAAAGCAGGGCTAGATATTGACTAGTTAAAGTGCAGGAATATTAGATCTTAAATCTATATAAATGCATTTTTATCTTTCCAACAAAGCTGAAATCATATTTAGTAGAGGCATAAAAACGAATAGTGCAACACCAAGATCATAGATTCATAGCTTTCTACCAATACCACTTCCTACAATGAAAATGGTACCAAACAGTCTAGAATCAAATGCCAAATAGTAGATGTAACTTCGTCAAATTTGATAAAAATTACCATAAATTCTGCAGCATTTGCAGCCTCCAAAGTATAGTCCAACTCTCCCACCAACCCTTTCCCGAGCTCATCAGCATAAAGACGTAGATCACTTTTCCTTTTAGTCACTTGTTGCAAAAGGTCCAGCTACACCAGTTCATAAATAAGTTATTTAGACTTGCCACTCAGATAAATGTATTAGTTGAATGCGTAAAGAATGACACAGACCCCAACTCGCATGATATAGATATCCCGAAACACTACATGTCGCAGATTAGGTCGTTGAACTTTCACGGCAACATCAAGACCATCTACCGTATTTGCCCTGTAGACCTAGGCATGCCAAATAAAATTGTGAAGGAAGATCAATAAAGATATAATCTAGTATCCAAAGGAAAAAGGAAAGAACTTTCATGTAGATAGAAACTGTAGTTTCTTTTCAACATGTATTTAAAGCAATTCCGTGCACAATTATCGTATGCCAAGTGGAACTTCAGAACCGGCATGGAGCATTTAGTAGTTCTGTGGAACAAAGACCAAACTGTTCAAGAACTTTATGCATTTTTAACTGAACAAGCCCTTCTCACATCGACCATGGACCTGCATTGTGGGCTCCTTATAAGCCTTAGATAGTGAACTATTAATAACGACCCACCATGATTTTAGTTGACTTGAAAGTTATTGGACTACTCTGTTGCTTTTAGGCTTGGAGTGTTGCATAAACTCCTTAACACGAGAACAATATTTTATGTTACTTAATAATGAGAGGAACACACCTGACCAAATGATGCTGCAGCTATTGCTTCCTCAGAGATGTAACTGAAGAATGTTTCCACGGGGGCGCCTAATTCTTCCTCTATGATTTTAATGGCTAAAGACCGGGGAAAAGGAGGAATTTGATCATGAAGCTCACTCAAAGCCTGCAATCATAACCAACAGCATTAATAAAATACACAAGCGAAATCACAAGGCACCATTATCCAGCAAGTGCAAACCTTCAACGCGGATTGAAGTAATAATTGGGCTTATTCAACGACTGAAAGCTTAAAACACAAAAACCTACCAAACGAACATTTTTAATATTAAGATTATTAGATTTTGAACATGATTAATTTACATTTTGATGGTATAATCCCATATAACAAAGAACTTTACTTTCTTTCAGAGTATGAAGAGTTTCGATGAGAAACTGAAACACAACAATTCAGTTTGACTTCGGTTAACAGATAAAGGACTGAGTTAGATTAGTTTGCCAAAAGTAAGCAAAACTACAACAAAACCGTTGAATTCGGTTCCAATTAAAATATAATTACATATAATTTTGTGCACTTATACAAGTTCACCATTTCTGTATTAGTGTAAACCTGAGGATACAATGACTCTTAGTGGTAGTAATAAAATTTCAGAAATGATCATATAGGAAAGGTTATGATCTGCTTTTTTGCATGGGAAGGGGTATGAAGTGAACTTTTTGAAAAACTTTGAGCAATTTTGGACCCAGGCACCTTAAAGCCTATGATGTGGGAGCATGCGTCATCGATGGTTCAGCAGTTCTTAAATTCTAAAATTCAAATCAGCAGCGAAAGACAGACTTTTCTGAATTCACCATGAAGAAGTAGCCTTCTGATAATAGAGCCGTTCACAGACAGTACCGCCCGTTAGACCCGGTCCACCCACCCTACTTAGAAAAGTGGGTTTGGACAACCATTCATAAAATGTCGGACCCAGACTGGCCCGTTAAGATTAATGGGTGCACATGGGTGACAAAAAGCAAATCAGACAGGTCCGCGCTTTATAGTTTTATAATTATCCTTTGTTTATAAAAAAATTGTAGAAAAAAGATTGACATTTTTTGAAACTTGTATATCAACTTGTCTCTTGTGTGTTGTTGTGGTCATGGGTGCGGTTGTCGGTTTTGATATCACGAGCAGGACTTGCTTTGATATAGCATAACCACATTTTTAGTTTGTAAGTTGTTCCTGACAAAGAACAGTGTTGCACAAGATCTTGTTTCCATTTTCTAGTCTTTTGTATTCAAGCATGCATTAACTGGCCATAGTCATCGTGTATCCGTGTAATCCTTTTACTTATTTTAGGCAAATTAGCATGTGGTCATGCCCGGGTCGTTTAAGGGTGGGTAAAGGCAAGTTATCACACCAACAAAAAAGGGCTTGGATTTGCTTTATTAAGCCCGTTGGATGAAATAATAGGTTGGGCGGTGGGCCGGCCCCTGTTCGGCCCAAGCCTTCAAATGATCACCTATACGTCAATAAAATGTTACACTAAAAGTATCCAGAAGGTGTTTAAAAATTGTAAAAGAATTGCAGATGTAGGAATAGGGAATTTTTTTAGCCTCTTTGGACAGCAGTTATCAAAGAAGTAGCTAAACCCTTCACCATTCCTCAGTTAATGAAACATTGCTGACCAGCTATTATTGTACTACCAGTGTACCATAATGAACCCCAAGAACAGAAATGGCACCATTGAAGAATAAGTTGAATAGTATAGCACATTCTGTGGGCATATTAGTAAGAACCCAATGGTGAACATACATACAGAACACACATGATAATTGCAAAGATAAAATCAGTACAACAAAATTGCAGACTTTCAAGAAAAAAGTATTTTACTTTCACCAAACCTTAGATACTTGAAAGCCAATAACATCTGGCCTTGTGGAAAGAGACTGGCCAACTGCACCAGCAACCAAAAGCAAGTCACAAAGAATATTGATGACCTAAGAAGGACATTAAGAAATGCAGGAGTCTAACCAACAGGACATTAAAGTTAAGCAGCAAAAAGGATAAGGTCTGATCAAATCCAACTTCAGCTGTACCTTTGATAAAAGTAGGACCCAAGTTTAACATTGTTTCTTTCAACACCATCCCAAAATTGTACTGGGAATTGTACTCATCAGCCTCTGTGCCCGCATTTGTGTTTTTTGACCTTTTAATTCCTGCTATTCTAATTCTGATTGCAGCTGAAGCAAAGGAGCCAAAAACCTTCCAAACAACAATATTGTCAATTCAACAAAAGTGCACTTTCATGAAATTAATGAAATAGGAATGAACAGTTCAACAATACTTTTTACACAATGTATTCAACAGCTTATCCATTTCAACAATAGAAAGTATGTCGATTAAGAGACACGTCCCCCATTCAGATATGGAAACAAAAAAAAACAGAGACTAACACTCAGTATAGTTTGGAGGGAAATGACAACCATATCAAACCCAAGCAGATGTTCATTCATTACGCCTTATGCTATAACCACGCTTAATTTGTAAAGGACACATGATGGAAAACATCCGGTAAAATATATATTCTTACTGCTTGCAACACAAGGAAACAAACAAACAGGCTGTGCATCATAGATTGATAATATATGTCAACTATATGCACATGTCAAAATCATGTCCTTAAGGTGAATAATCTACCTCAATAAGTCTAAGGGCCACTACATGAGGCCGGCATTTGAAATAGTCGTCAGCTTCTTGTGCATCGAAAACTTCTGGAAGCGGCTTTGACCACATTTTAGATAAATGGTAATAATAGATTATATATGCCTCTAAGGCTTTAAGATCGGCCCATATCAGATCTGAGCCAGAGAGTTCTGTAAAAGGAAGACGAAATAATGTTAATAGAAGCAGTAGAGGAGCATAATATGGAAAAACTTGGAGAAGGTGCTTCACTTGGCGTACATAGAAAATTTAGGGGGTGTTTGGTGTACATAGAAAACTGTTTGGTTTTATATAATATAATGGGCCCATTCCCCATAAGCCCAAATTTTGATTCCAGGTTAAACGAGGAATGGAAATTCATTCCCATTTTCATTCCTTGTCATTTTCATTTTCATTTTCATTTTCATTCTCATTTTCATTTCTTTGACTGAACCAAACACCCCCTTAGATGTCAACAATGCAAGAATCAAGTTATGCAAATGCTACACCATTTTAGGAATAAGTATAGCGCTTTGTATCCTGGTGTCTTCTGTCAAGTGAGCAGATAAGTATCCTCATCATACAGGCTGCTTGCTGACCTATGTTACCCATTGGTGACCTTCAAATCCATTGTTGGGTTTCTATTATGATCTCTCTTTCATGTCAATTCGAGTATCTATTCTTGAAGAAAGAGGATGTTCAAACACACAATTCTCACTCTACAAATATATTTACACTTTGACATTCAAAAGAAAATCAATTAGTATGATGTGGAGGATTCTAAGTACTCCTAAGATTTAGCAACTACATGGAACTCAAAAATTAGTGACAAGTTTCATATGAATTTTCTGCTTGATTTCTAGGTTTCTCGCTGAAAAGTCAATTGCATCTCCTTCAAGACGTGTAAGCCATAAAATGTTATCTCGAGCCAGTGCTAACAAAATTAAGACCAATATCTGATTTCCATATGTGATTAAGCACTTTCCCCTTCGGCATCTACCAACATGTTAACTTCACACACAAATGTAGTTATATATGAATTTGTTCTCCATCGATTATGATATAATATACAAGAGGCTCATCAATGCAGAAGTTCAAATCACTGACAAAATGGGTATGTTCATAACACGTCTGAATCCTTTCACATGTTTAAGCTTTACGGGGTTGTTTGTTTACCTCTTAATAGTTTCATTAAGAGGTAACCTCTGAATCTTTAAGAGGTGAATCTTGTTTCAGAAGAAAAAAAAAAATTTGTCTCTTAAATGGTTTTAAAACCATTTGAATGATTTTGTATCATGGATCTCCCTAACCATTAAGAGCCATAATTTCAGTGTACATAATTACCAAACAATTATATTTCATTTTGCAATGTATATGAGAGCCTTTTAATCATTCTGATCACTATATCATTCTGCACCAACCCATTCAGTAATTGCCAAACAGTTACGTCTTTTAGGCTACCAGATATCTGTTATTTGTTTGTACACAATTTTCTTACATCAAAAGTGTGCCGAAAATTGAAGACGAAGCAAAACCTGGATAATAAGGCTGAGGCCAAGAAGGAGACTGAACTTCAGCAGAATAGTGGGGATCTTCGAGGTTCCGTAGCCAAACAAATTCATCTACCTTTTTCGAGATCTCCGGAAAACCAATAACTCCGCTCGTCCAATTGATGCCTGCACTGATATTCTTCTTAAGAAAATCGACATCCTTCTTAACAACTTGTACGAAATGCCCAAAGTTTCCAGCAACAGCACGGCAATTGTTCCGGTGACGTTTAATCGTTCTTCTTGAGCTCGACTGAGTTGCACAGCCGAGTACGGAAGCCGGAATAGATGCTACCGCGGCAGAGGCAGCGGCGGCGCTGAGCATTGGAGCCTAATAGCGCAAAATTTTCCGGTGAATTTGGATGGATGGTTAAATAAAGACTGGAAAAGGGAAACGAAGGGTGAGGAAAGGCGTAGCGTATTTTATTATCATTTGGACATATCATTACAAAAGTAGAAACGGGTTTCCTTTTTGGCGCGACGAAGAGCGTCTACTTCAGTTGATTAGTTCTCGATTTATTTCCCAAAAAAGAGAGACCAAGTTTTGTTGGGTTGGTATTTGGTTTCTTGTCAAAACTAACCCCTAAAATATAAAATTTATTGAAATAATCCATAAAAAATGACATTTCTAAAATAACCCTTTATTTAGTATTATTAAGGTAGTGTTTAACACGCAGATCGGATAGGACAGTACTAATTGTTTGTCTTATATTTGGTACGATTAGGGCAAGACAAGATAAAACTGTTAAAATGATTATATTACTCCTAAATGTTGTTCAATGTTCTTTAATATCATATAATGATTGTAAAATGACAACAAATCAACCAAAATATATTTAAATTATTTAATCTATGATATCACTACTTTTTTTTAACATTCCAAGACCATATGTAGATAATATTTGTCATGCCACAAATTCTAAATACGTACATAATTTAAAAAGTTTAAACACAATAATTGTAAATACATTTGTCACGATATCGTCAAAAAGTTTAACATTCCAAGACCATATGTTAAATGTACCAAAAATATCACAAAAGAACAATGGTTTTCATCATCTCCTAAATTATGTCAAATGTACCAAACAACGCAACAATTGTTTTCACCATCTTCTAGGACATATTACTTGTCTTCATCGTAAATTGACTTCATAAATTCTATTTTCATAAAATCATTCAAACTCTTCCAAAAACGATATTGGGATGGTTTGTCCCCAAAGTACTTACCCATTCGAATGATTTTCATCACACCAAGCCCAAGTTGTGTCAACTCATCTCTCAAGCCATCCATTTCGGGTGTAGAATCCGAGATGCCCGAAACCAACTTTTTCATTTGGTTGGTTGCTTCATGGATTTCGTTCTTGGTTTCTTCCACTAGCTTAGATGACCCGGTTGTTCTTTTTCTCTTTTTACTTGTTTCTTCTTCTTCACTTGGAGGAATGAAGGAATGAGAAGTTATATCTGAAGGACTTGGAAAGGGAGGAACACCAAATTCAGTTGCAAAATCTTCATTGTTTTCCATATTCATATTCTCTACTGTGTCTGTAGCTGATTCAACCATGTTTCTCATTGCTCGATCTTTCCCGAACACCAACTTCAACCACTCGTAAGCCGATAATGGCTTATTAGCCGTTTAATTTTTGTTGGGATGTTTTTACGACAAAAAACAAACAAACAATTATTAAGAGAAGTAACAAAAAAAAACATTATACATAACCCATTATCATTACTAGTATATAACCTTTAGATACTCCTCCAAAATCTCGGTAGCTTTGACAGTCGTGCATTGATTTGCATCTTTCTATCCAAAATCCACTTGTATTCAGCATATCATAAGCATCCGAATATTTATCTTTTAGCCACTTAATCTTGTTTTGTACGTGTTTGGACGTAAGGCTAATACTGGGATTTTTTCCCTCATATTTGAAACAACGGCCTCATATGTACCCGACCTAAAGCTTTCATTGTCACCTCTACCCCCGTTGATGGCAATGTCTTGAAGAATTATGATCAACAAGTCTTCCTCATCCGTTGTCCACCTACGATGATCGGCCACTTTTATAAATCTACAAAACAATAAAAAATACCAAAGACAAACAAACAAAATTCCATTACGAAGACAATACTAAATACCAAAACAAATATAATTTCATTGAAAACAAGACAAATATAATTCCGTTACAAATAAGACAAATATAATTCTGTTACAAACAAGACAAATATAATTCCGTTACAAACACTAATCCATACCAATCTCAATTACGGTTTAACATTCAAGATTCAAACATCTCTTCGGCTAAATCATCTCTCCACTGAGACCACTCATCACTTACCTCAACAACATCAATGAACTCTGATGGTAAAGAGTGGTCTTCCCCAATAGACATATCTTCAATAGTGATTGTTGAATTTTCATGAGGATCAATGGTCATGTATGTTCTAATAAAATTATGCAATAAAGCACATGCTAAAATCATTCTCCCTTGATATCTTATTGGATAGAAAAAAAAGACTTCGTAATATAGCCCAACGTTTCTTCATGATGCCAAAACACCTTTTGATAATATTTCTAGCATGTGAGTGCTTCTTATCAAAGTATTCCTCCTTATTAGTAGGTGCACGACTAGCATCTACCCATTCTCATAGATGATACCTACGGCCCCTATATGGTGCCAAAAAAACCTTCACCATTGATATATCCTACATCCACTAAATAGTAATTATCGAGTATGACTTTCAATCCATTTTATCTAGTAACTGCATCTTGTAGAACTCTAGAGTTGGTAGTTGAACCTTCCCAACCGGCTAAAACGTAGACAAATTTTAGATCACGAGTTCACACACCTAATACATTGGTCGCAATATGTCCCTTTCTTGTTTGATACATTGGTTTATCAGACTCTAGTACAGTTATTTCAATATAATTTTCATTTATTGCTTCTAGACAACCCTATACATAAAAGATAATATGTTTTAGCTAAAAGATAGATGTTATATTATGTACTGTATAAAGATTGTTATAGTAAGTACCTTAAACCATTTCCATTGTGAATCCGTAGAATCATCTTCTATAGGAGTTGGTTTGACAAGCAACACGTCTTCCAAATGCAATATAGCATGCAATACTCAATGAACATACCGACTTATTGTTTCCCCCGACCTATAGAACCTAACTTGAATAGTCCTATTTTAGTGTGGTGTGTTAATATGTTTATAAATATAGCAACTTGTTCCTTGATTGTCATATTACCATCATCTATTAATCCACCACGAGTTTTAAGCAAATCACACAAAACTGCAAAAACATTTCTATCCATTCGCAACTCATTTATACAATTTACGTCATTTTCTCGTATAATACGTTGTATTTCGGTTGATCTAATTTTAATTATAGTGAAAGTTGTTTCACCCAAAGTTCCTCTTTCACTATTTTTATTCTCCAATTCAATTAACCAAATTGTAAAGGAAAGCAAGTAAATGAGCATTTGAATGTAAATATTCCAAATGTTAACGAGTGCTACCAAGTGATTTCGGTCCATCACTACAAAAAGCACAAAACAAAGTAACAAACAATAGTCAAAACAATGACCCAACAAAATCACCCATGCATTCTTCAACAAACAATGACCCAAGATAGCAGTAGATTTTATCCTAATGGGTAAGACACTCAACTTAAAATCTTGAATCTCAAATTTCAAGTACTACCAAGTGAATTATCATATCAACAATAGAAACACATAGAATGTCCCACTCTATCTGTAACACCCTCATTTCAAATACAAGGTGCCATGTAATAAGATAAAATAAAATCAAAATTCTAGCGGCTAATAAAGCCTTATTGGAGCGGAAGTCTTACAATAATTTAATCGTAATTAATATCTCAAAACTAACCCATCCCATATCAGGTTACATTACACATAAATTCAATTAAACTACTACGGATTTTATAATTCATAACTCGAATAAAAGTTCTATTTCCTACGCAGAACATTTGCCCTTTTCCGTTCTTGAATACCCAGCTCCTGAGATGCATACTAATAATCAGCTTTATAAAGTTCGGTGAGTTCATGGTTTTTATGCACAATCATACATATCACATCATGCATAAAATAAACAATACCCGAAATAAAATAACATGCACATTTGTTTCAAACCCTTTTGAAATAATAATGAGATCTTCTTAATTTCCCGTCGGATTAAGGTCTTACCATCATCGACACTTCCCCGGGTTACACGGCCATCCCTTATCCGGTTACCCCTCCCTAGGATGTGCCATCCCTTATGACTTTTGACCCCTTCCCATACCTGACAAAAATATAAATTCTTTTATAACATGCTAATTGATGTTTAAAAAAAAACATGTAAATAAATAGCATGCAACCCACAATAATGATCATATACATGTAATAAACCCATAAACATGTACATAAAAATAATAATGTAATACTCAAATAATTTGTACGTAAGCATGCATCCCAGTTAAAATCTCATGAAGACTCACCTGACTGTGTAGATTATCGTATGATCTCCCTGACTAATAACCTTATCGATGCTTGAACGCTTACGAAACCGAATTCCCACCCTCGATTCGCAGTCTCGTCCTTCCCCAAGTTCCCCTCTTCTTCTTTTTTTTTTCTTTCTTGAAGCCTTATAGAACAACTTCTACATACACATATATATACACCCTCTCCATTGAGAAAAAAAAAAAAGTTATTTATATATATATGGAGAATATCACAAATTTTGCCACCTTTCCAAACCATTACACACAATTTCTTTTTCACCAATTAAGAAATTATTTAATTCTTATTAAAAGATTCCCACGTTTTTTTTTTAATTTGAATGTCATTTCAAAGAAAATTAGATATTTTCATATTATTATTATTATTATTATTATTATTATTATTATTATTATTATTATTATTATTATTATTATTATTATTATTATTATTGGTTTGTTCTTGCTGTTTCATTAAGATTTTGCAGGTTATTGCTGTCTATTTCATTCTGATTTGAAGATTATTGTGCATCAGATTGAGGTTTCGTGCAAGTAAAATCAGTAACCTTGCTGTCAAATTTGCCTTGGAGGTTTGTTTGTTTAGTAATAAGAATCTACCCAAGCATCTTCCCAACTATCTCTTCAGCCTGATTAATTTTGATAATGTGATCTCCACCTTGAAAACCACTTGTGAACTTTCCTAGGCTCTGTTGTTTAGTGATAAGAGCTGTTGTATTCAAATTTATGGTATCATCTTGAATTTTATATGGTTGCTGTGTGTTGTAATAGTTGTTGTCTCTACAAGGAACTATCAATTGGCAGCTGTTTTTGTGTTTTTGGCACTATCTTCATTCTGTTGTTGCTGCATTTTGCACTTGTCTGTTGGCCCATTGATTACTATTCTTTG